TACAGACTGATGTTCTACAGGCTGATGTTCTACAGACTGATGTTCTACAGGCTGATGTTCTACAGGCTGATGTTCTACAGGCTGATGTTCTACACTGATGTTCTACACTGATGTTCTACAGGCTGATGTTCTACAGGCTGATGTTCTACACTGATGTTCTACACTGATGTTCTACAGGCTGATGTTCTACAGGCTGATGTTCTACAGACTGATGTTCTACAGGCTGATGTTCTACAGGCTGATGTTCTACAGACTGATGTTCTACAGGCTGATGTTCTACAGACTGATGTTCTACAGGCTGATGTTCTACAGACTGATGTTCTACAGGCTGATGTTCTACACTGATGTTCTACACTGATGTTCTACACTGATGTTCTACAGGCTGATGTTCTACAGGCTGATGTTCTACACTGATGTTCTACAGACTGATGTTCTACAGGCTGATGTTCTACACTGATGTTCTACAGACTGATGTTCTACAGACTGATGTTCTACAGGCTGATGTTCTACAGACTGATGTTCTACAGGCTGATGTTCTACAGACTGATGTTCTACAGGCTGATGTTCTACAGACTGATGTTATACAGACTGATGTTCTACAGGCTGATGTTCTACAGGCTGATGTTCTACAGGCTGATGTTCTACAGACTGATGTTATACAGACTGATGTTCTACAGGCTGATGTTCTACAGACTGATGTTCTACAGGCTGATGTTCTACAGGCTGATGTTCTACAGGCTGATGTTCTACAGGCTGATGTTCTACAGGCTGATGTTCTACAGGCTGATGTTCTACAGGCTGATGTTCTACAGGCTGATGTTCTACAGGCTGATGTTCTACACTGATGTTCTACAGGCTGATGTTCTACAGACTGATGTTCTACAGACTGATGTTCTACAGGCTGATGTTCTACAGGCTGATGTTCTACAGACTGATGTTCTACACTGATGTTCTACAGGCTGATGTTCTACAGACTGATGTTCTACAGGCTGATGTTCTACAGGCTGATGTTCTACAGGCTGATGTTCTACAGACTGATGTTCTACAGACTGATGTTCTACAGACTGATGTTCTACAGACTGATGTTCTACAGACTGATGTTCTACAGGCTGATGTTCTACAGACTGATGTTCTACAGACTGATGTTCTACAGGCTGATGTTCTACAGACTGATGTTCTACAGGCTGATGTTCTACAGGCTGATGTTCTACAGGCTGATGTTCTACAGACTGATGTTCTACAGACTGATGTTCTACAGACTGATGTTCTACAGACTGATGTTCTACAGGACTGATGTTCTACAGACTGATGGTTCTACAGGCTGATGTTCTACAGGCTGATGTTCTACAGGCTGATGTTCTACAGGCTGATGTTCTAACTAGGCTGATGTTCTACAGGCTGATGTTCTACACTGATGTTCTACAGACTGATGTTCTACAGGCTGATGTTCTACAGACTGATGTTCTACAGACTGATGTTCTACAGACTGATGTTCTACAGGCTGATGTTCTACAGACTGATGTTCTACAGACTGATGTTCTACAGGCTGAGTTTCTACAGGGCTGATGTTCTACAGGCTGATGTTCTACAGACTGATGTTCTACAGGCTGATGTTCTACAGACTGATGTTCTACAGGCTGATGTTCTACAGACTGATGTTCTACAGGCTGATGTTTCTACAGGCTGATGTTCTACAAGGCTGATGTTTCTACAGGACTGATGTTCTACAGGCTGATTGTTCTACAGGCTGATGTTCTACAGGCTGATGTTCTACAGACTGATGGTTCTACAGGGCTGATGTTCTACAGACTGATGTTCTACAGACTGATGTTCTACAGGCTGATGTTCTACAGGCTGATGTTCTACACTGATGTTCTACAGGCTGATGTTCTACAGACTGATGTTCTACAGACTGATGTTCTACAGGCTGATGTTCTACAGGCTGATGTTCTACAGGCTGATGTTCTACACTGATGTTCTACAGGCTGATGTTCTACAGGCTGATGTTCTACAGGCTGATGTTCTACAGACTGATGTTCTACACTGATGTTCTACACTGATGTTCTACAGACTGATGTTCTACAGGCTGATGTTCTACACTGATGTTCTACACTGATGTTCTACAGGCTGATGTTCTACAGACTGATGTTCTACAGGCTGATGTTCTACAGACTGATGTTATACAGGCTGATGTTCTACAGACTGATGTTCTACAGGCTGATGTTCTACAGGCTGATGTTCTACAGACTGATGTTATACAGGCTGATGTTCTACACTGATGTTCTACAGGCTGATGTTCTACAGGCTGATGTTCTACACTGATGTTCTACACTGATGTTCTACAGGCTGATGTTCTACAGACTGATGTTCTACAGGCTGATGTTCTACAGACTGATGTTATACAGGCTGATGTTCTACAGACTGATGTTCTACAGGCTGATGTTCTACAGACTGATGTTCTACAGGCTGATGTTCTACAGGCTGATGTTCTACACTGATGTTCTACAGGCTGATGTTCTACAGACTGATGTTATACAGGCTGATGTTCTACAGACTGATGTTCTACAGACTGATGTTCTACAGACTGATGTTCTACAGACTGATGTTCTACAGGCTGATGTTCTACAGGCTGATGTTCTACACTGATGTTCTACAGGCTGATGTTCTACAGACTGATGTTCTACAGGCTGATGTTCTACAGGCTGATGTTCTACAGGCTGATGTTCTACAGGCTGATGTTCTACAGACTGATGTTCTACAGGCTGATGTTCTACAGGCTGATGTTCTACAGGCTGATGTTCTACAGACTGATGTTCTACAGGCTGATGTTCTACAGGCTGATGTTCTACAGGCTGATGTTCTACAGGCTGATGTTCTACAGACTGATGTTCTACACTGATGTTCTACACTGATGTTCTACAGGCTGATGTTCTACAGGCTGATGTTCTACAGACTGATGTTCTACACTGATGTTCTACAGGCTGATGTTCTACAGACTGATGTTCTACAGGCTGATGTTCTACAGGCTGATGTTCTACAGGCTGATGTTCTACAGGCTGATGTTCTACAGGCTGATGTTCTACAGGCTGATGTTCTACAGGCTGGATGTTCTACCAGGCTGATGTTCTACAGCTGATGTTCTACAGGCTGATGTTCTACAGACTGATGTTCTACAGGCTGATGTTCTACAGACTGATGTTCTACAGGCTGATGTTCTACAGGCTGATGTTCTACAGGCTGATGTTCTACAGGCTGATGTTCTACAGGCTGATGTTCTACAGGCTGATGTTCTACAGGCTGATGTTCTACAGGCTGATGTTCTACAGGCTGATGTTCTACAGGCTGATGTTCTACAGGCTGATGTTCTACAGGCTGATGTTCTACAGGCTGATGTTCTACACTGATGTTCTACAGGCTGATGTTCTACACTGATGTTTTACACTGATGTTTTACACTGATGTTCTACAGGCTGATGTTCTACAGGCTGATGTTCTACACTGATGTTCTACAGGCTGATGTTCTACACTGATGTTCTACACTGATGTTCTACAGGCTGATGTTCTACACTGATGTTCTACAGGCCTACAGCATCAGGGGTAGGGAAACAGCGATACAATGTCAAAAGTACAACCTCTCTGAAACTGGGCTTAGCTTTTGTGGTGTGGCTGGTTCCATGCAACAGTGGACATTTAGTTTAGCGGTGCAATGAGACCAGACAGCAAAAGTCAACCACGTGTGGTGTGGAGCAGGCTGCCTCTGTCACCCGGCATCCCTCAGCAGTAATGTGAATTACCCTTTGATTGTAAGGTATAAGCGGGTCTTCCAACCACACATAATTTAAGTTATGCAGATGCCCCCTACTACCACGCCGACTGAGTCATGCCTACACAATACAACGTTTACTGTTCACGTTAGCTTAGCTTAGCAGCGTCGCACAAACTGTCACATTAAAAGGGCTCCGAACAGGTGATGATGTCTAGACATGAAATAATAAACTACATAACCTCGAGGACACAAAACACAGTCAGTGTAGCTAATGAACTTTGTCGTGTGTTGGTGTGCACTGTGTAAACTGATACAAATGAACAATGTTAAACTTCACGAGCCTGTCAAACATCAACATATCTGATATTAGTGAACGCCACAGGTATAATGGACTGTAAACTGAACAGATACACAACGGGTCGTTTGACATCAGAACAAACTGACCCCACAGAGCACCTGAGACCGACTGCTGTACCAGCTACTAAACGTGTTGTTCACTTAATATACAACTCTGGGATTACGGCCTTCTTATAATTTAACGATGAGTCAACTCAAGATAACGTAAAATATTTAACAAAGGGATACTTAACGGGGGTTCCCATGATCCCGGGAAGTAACGTAAGATAACGTTAACCAACTCCAAAAACGTTTGAATACAGATAGAATCGAGTTTAATTGCTGAGCCGAATTGAAAGATACACCATTCTACACATAAATGCGTTTAAATTGATAGAGTTAAAGCAATGTGCTGTATAAAATCAGCGATGCAGCCGTAAACCTGAGAGATGTTAAAGGGAGTCTGGTGTGACGTCCCATCGGTCAGCGCGTACGGTTCCTGGTTATGGTAGCTAGCTATCGTTTGTTAGCTCTACGCACAGCAAGCCTTTCACTATTTATCACCTGAAGTAAATTGCCGTTAACATTATGAAGTTTGAGGGTCAAGCGTAAATCGTTCTTAACAACAGGTATTCGGGGAAAGGGTACATCACAATTATAATGTAAGCTTACAAGTTTGCTACTGTTAGCCGAGCTAATGCTAATCTGGTGCTAAAAGCTAGTTGGTGGCTAGTCCTGATGGTTAACACTGAAAGTGAACTTTACTTTAGCAAATATCAAATGTGGGATGGAGAATACACAAGTCACAATTGCCGGCTGATAGTGACAGCTAATATACACCTTTTGAAGTTATATAGAAAAAAGCAAATACTGTGCTAAAAAAGCTAGAGCGTTTTTACCTGTGTTTTTACACTGGATGGAAGCAGGACACTGTCAGATAATTAGTACACTTCCGGTTACATCTTTTCAAACTACAGCACTAGTCGAACTCGTGCAAAGAACATATTATAATCTAGTATAACAATTGTACTCAGTTCTCTATAAAATGCGTGGCAACACACGTTTGATTTCAATGTTTATCAGGCAATTAAAAAAATGCTAATGTCTTATTATGTAGGATTATTATAATAATCATACCATAATCGTTTTCGCTACTCTGGTATGTGAAGTAAATATCCAATTTGTTACAGTGCTTCTCAAAGTGTGGTCCGTGAGAAAAATCTAATGTATATCTATCTATCTATGTATACATATATATATATATATTATATATATGCATCATATACACATGCAAGTATTGCTAATGCCATTGTTTTTAAGTATGTGTACATAGTCCTCAGTCTCAAATGCTTAAATTGTTTATGGAGGCATTACAATTTAAGACTGGTAAATTAACACTGAAAACTCCTGTTTTTGTTGCATTAAGTCAAACTGGGATGTTTGCTGAAATTGATTGCATACGCACACTATGGGCACAGCCCTACATAGAAAAAAATTCCACCAGCCGCCAAGTGCTGCTTAGACTCAATATTCATTCTGATGTATCATCTGACTCAGTCTCATTTCAAGACTCCATTTTAAAACCATACTAAAAAATATGCAAACCAGTTGGAGGTAGAACAAAGAACCTATGGAAATGTATCATAGTCAGTAACAATGTGAAGTATTTTGTTTGTATGAAATGGAAATGAAAAGACAATGTTATAGTCTTATATTGAACATAACTCACGGTAGCATTTAGGCCTAGGTGTGAGACAAACTGGTTTTGGAAGGGGGCTTGTCTCCCTACTTCCGGCAAACTATTCTCAAAATATGAATTATAATGAGATGCAATAGTCATGGTTTAAGATAGAGGAATGGGGGGTCAATATTGACCATTCATGACTTTGTTCTATTTTGTTACCATCAAGAGAAAACTGTTAAAAACTTTAAACAAAATAAAGTTTGAAATGTTTTTATGGTAGACCAGTCATTGCATGCCATAGGGGGGCGCCATTGTCTTCTTATGAATGTGTCATTCTCTTGACCTAGCTGATACTGTCTCATAGTTGCTGTGTCGTTTTCAGTTTAGCATTTAATTAGGCTGATCGAGCCAATTACTTATTGGCCCAGTGTAACTTTACTAGATTAGATATTTCAAACTTGTTTAATTACATACATCTATTCAGTCTACGATCTGTTTGACAGATCGTACGACAAGGGCACATATTTGTCAAAGCAAAGTTCAAGAGCTGCTCCCCAAAGTATCATATCATGCTATAAATAATAACATGGGACATCATTGGAAAAGCACACTTGCTCTGTCAAACATTTACGCTGTGTGTTGCTTTGTTATGGAACAATTGTAAAGTTCAAGCTTGTCCAATGTGAGAAAGCTGATGTTCTCTGTTTTCCAATATTGGAAGACCCCAGTGTTTTTGCACTGTTGGTCTGACAAAACAACACATTTGAACTGATCTTCATGTTGACTTTAGGAAGTTGACATGAAGACATATTATGTTCTAAATGTGTGATTATTGATATAGAATAATAACACTTCATTTTTTATTTTACAAAAAAAAAACATGTTTAAAATTCAGAATTTGATTTGTATTATTGATAGTTGTGATACAGGCGTTCATAAATGATCATAGCTCCCATTATTACACATTTGTAGAATATATCCTTACAAATGTGTAATAATGATTCATTACCAACAATGTTTTTTTGCACACGCTTGACCAAAGGGCAGGTCCCCCACATCCATGGCGCTTTGTTCCACAGCTGGAGGTGAAGTGATAGGAGCCGGAGGCATCACATTCCACAGCTCTTCTCCCGGTGCTGTAGTCATTTCAACTGGGAGGTTACCACTTAGCCAGCCAATGAGCACACGTCTGTGTGTTGGAGACAGAACCCGATTGTCTCACAGCAGAATATTGTTTTTAGATCGGCCGCCTATTGGTCGGACGCGTTGTTCAAAGGCTCGAGACCCGCCCGTTTTCTCTCCTAAGTGAGGACGACGTTTTCCATTCACCAGACCAGAGAGAAAAAACGGCAGAAAGAGAACATCTACCACACCGGGGTTTGGTCGGGAAAAGGAAAGCCTCAGCTGCTATACCGGGATAAACATACTGTACTAGGCGGGGATAACAGCGGTGTTCACCGGGGCTCCCTTCACGGTACGTTCTGCCCTGCTTTTGTTGTTATAGCGGCTGATAGTTTGACTGAGTCCACTGCTTTGAGACACACTGGTGTCAAATGACGCCAATCATTTTCATCGGCTTTTGGAGTATCAATCACCAAATAATAGACATACAGAGCATTGAAGGTTTAATGACTTTGCTGCTTTGTCCGTGATGTCTCCTGGTCCTCACATACAAACTACAGAGACACTTTGGATTGTTGAAGTCTCCGTGAAGTTCACACAGCTTGTTCCTATGCTCATGGACTTTTTCAAATGTCTGACTTGTTTTAGTAGATGTAAAACTGTTCCAGAGAGTAGCCTGTATAGTGAACTCAGTCCCAGCTCCGACTGGGCAGAAGGACTTCTCCAGAAATCACGTGTGTCTGTACATGTGTGTGTTTGTATATATATATTTCTCAGCTGCCTTATTCTGCAGAGAAATATATGAAGTGTTCCGAGAAAGTTGTTTTTTTTCCCACATTAATGTCAGAATCAGATTCATGTTTATTAGCAAACGAGGGATTTCCTTGGTGTAAATGGTGCCGGCATAAACAGAGTTAAAGATCAACTGTCAGAAAAGCACCATCAAATAAAACAATGATACAAAAACGATTAAAATGGAATATAGATTAAATATAGATATACCCGTACAAATAAAATATAATAAAATAAGGCTATCTCAGGTCCAAATGCTATGGCATATTTGATCACCTGTAGATTATACATTTAAATTCCATAATGGCTAAAATAAACTTTTGGTCTGGTGGTTAATGAATGCTCTGCAAGCTAGTGTGTTTGTATTCCATTAAGGATGATTACTTGTCATTTAGGGGACTTTTATCTAAAGTGACCATTTTTGATAAAGATGAAAAATATATTCTGATTTAACAGTTCATCTTTATACTGATAGGGGGATTTACTCTGAAGAAGGGATCTCGCTGACTAGGTATACCAGTTAAATGTATATCATGTAAATACTATAAAGCTTGTGTTCTCATTACGTATTTCAGTATTTTGAGCATGTTGCTTGTGAAAAGTAAGGCATGATTGTGGACTACATACATGCAAAGTTTAAAGCCAATCAATTCGTCAGGGGAAACAGAGGATGAATTCAATTCTATCAAACTCCATTCAGTGATTTTTGTATTGGATTAAACGTCCGGCATCACCAGGCGCTAGTATTGAACATTTCCAAACTATTCCTGGCCCTAAACAAAGGGGATTGGAAATTCCCTTAACAGTGTCGAGCAGTGATTCAATGATTTACCACAGTAAGTCAGGAGTGATCCAACAGGGTTATGTCAGTGTCCTTCTCACATTAGAGCTGAAACCATATGTTGAAAATCAAATCATCATTTCATGATATAATTATATACTCACGGGGTTTGTCGAGCAAAGCGCATGGTGTAGTCTCAAACGATAGCTGAGGATTCTGGGTAGTGTAATGTTTTCGGCCATCCTAAACTCTGATACAACTATTTGTTTCTCAGAGTCGAAGGGGAAAAACACAAAAGCATTGTACACAATTTAAACCAATCAATGTCGTTTAATTAACAAGGATAATCAGGTGTTTTTGAGGTGATGAGTAGTGCAGATATCACTGTCAAATCAATCGACAGTAAGGACAATACTTACTTCCGGGTGTAAAATCCTCCGTTATCCAATGGGAATGGACGCTCACATTGCCTTTTTAAAGAGCCGCCGACATGGACCGATGCGGTGCTTCCCTGAGCGTCAAATACCTCCGCCGATGGGAATACATTGCAATCAGTTGAAAGCTCTTTGCGTCCGTTTATGCGCGTCCCAACTGGACGCCACGGGACCCTGACCAAGCGTAGCTATTGGACGATCAGAGAGTGAGAGTGTGTTAGCAAAATTAGTTTATTTTGGGGATTGACCGGATGCTCTGGCCGTTCTACTTCCTGCCCGGCGCTATGCAACGCCTTGCGTCTCTGTGCATGGCGCGGCGCAGACGCACCCAGTGTAATCCAGGCGTCAGGCCTTGTAATGTTTGGGCTGAAAGAGACTACTACACTAAAGCCCCTAAATAATTAGAAAAATGTACCCCCACCTCCCACTTCAGACCACTGCATCCCAAGTACAATGTTTGGGGAAGGCGCGATTACGATGTAAAGTCAATGCAGAGACGCGGACAGACGCAAATTCGCTCCGACGGCGAGCATGAAGCGGTGGACGCGGCGCGAATCACGCCATTGCGGAGATTGAGCGGTGCCGCATCAAACGCGAGCGTCAAATTCATGTGACGCGTTCTCGCGGAAGCCAATCAGTGGTGAGGATCTCAGCCTGCCGTTACTGACGTTCAACCAGAAAACATCAGCCGTTAGCTGTTAGCAGTTAGCACACAGAGATCACAGCTCCTCATATCTGTTCAGAAACTAGACAAAAGTTAAACAAGTACAAACCACAGACTGTCTGTGTGACTGTCATGGCGAATACAGTTGCTGGCTTATTTATGTCTGTAGGCCATTGTTATGAGTGTGGCGTGAGCATATACAACGTTAGCTTAGCCTGGTCGACCCAATCTCCATTCAGAAAACAAGCATTCTAAAAGGTTTTTCGCCTGCCGTCTGTCTGCAGACTTGTCAAGCATTAATTCATGGTTTTTACTAACCGGTATCAGTATGTTACTTCGGCATCATTTAGAAACGTGTATTACAATTTAATCACGGTAAAATATGTTCATTTTGTTGTAGTTGTAGTTCCCGAGCCAGCGCGTCTTGTTTGAATGATGCAAGTAAACACAGCTGGCAGCCGCGGTGAAACTTGAGCGATTAGAGCGAAGCAAATATTCGCATCGCGTCCGGTGTGAACGCAGCATAACGTCCACACAGCAGCTTTTCAAAAATCTTGAAAATCTTGGAGCTGGGCGTGTCTGAAAGCTTGGGGGTTTTTTGCGAGCAACGCAACCAACAACCAATCACATGAATCTCCCGCCCCCGACATACAAAGCAAAAAACCCCGGGGATTTTATGCGAGCAATATATATATAAACTCCCCAAACAGGCGAAAACCTACCAGTTTCACCCACTGTCTCTGCCACCTCCCTCCATGCCTGGTCCCTCCGGTTTGTATCCCGTTAATAGTTCTGGTCGTAAAGAACCGGGTGATTTGCTAACGTAATTTCTCGTTTGGAATATGAGGAAATGAACTGCGGTCTGGCTCTCCCTGCTTACACGCGGTTTGATTGGCTAGCGCTTCTACTGTCAGATTTGCATAAATGGGATTTGATTGGCTGACGCTTCCAGCTCAGCTTCAAAAGTTGAACATTGCTCAACTTTTGAATCCTGAAAATCCTGGAAATCTTCGCTTCGCTCCCCCACAATGCAGTTCGGCGAAAAGCGAGGCAAAGTGACATCATCCCCATTCAAAGTCAATGGGCAGAGAAGCGTTGGAAGCGTTGGAAGATTTGTTTAAAGCTGCTGTGTGGACGTACCGTAACGGAGCGTCCACACTACAGCTTCAAAAAAAGCTTGGAGCTGGGCGTGTCTGAAGCTTGGGGATTTTATTCGAGCAACGCGACCAACAACCAATCACATGAATCTCCCGCCCCCGACATACAAAGCAAAAAACCCCGGGGATTTTATGCGAGCAATATATATATATATATATAAACTCCCCAAACAGGCGAAAACCTACCAGTTTCACCCACTGTCTCTGCCACCTCCCTCCATGCCTGGTTCCTCCGGTTTGTATCCCGGTAGGTGAAGAGGGTCTGGTCATACAAAACCGGGTGATTTGCTACGGCGATAAATAGTTTCTCCTCCATCTTTTTTTTAAATATAGAAATGAACGGCGGGATATCTCTCCCAGCTTAGACGCGGTTTGATTGGCTAGCGCTTGAGCTGTCAGATTTTCAGAAACGGGATTTGATTGGCTGGCGCTGGCTACTCCGGCGTCTCCGGCGTCAGAAGTTGAACATTGTTCAACTTCTGACGCCGGAGACGGACCGCTATGCTACCCACAATTCAGTTCGGCGAAAAGCGAGACAATGTGACGTCACCCCATTCAAAGTGAATGGGCAGACGCGTTGGAAACTGTTTTTGAAGCTGTCGACGCTGTAGTGTAGACGGGCCGTAAGCCTGCTGCCTGCCACTCGTCCAGCAGACCGACCGGACATCCTTCCCCTATTTATTTGGAGCCCCGTGAAAACAAAGCTGTCTCTGCCGTCAGGCGGTCCATTTGACACAAGTTTCATATTTTTCGAGATATTATACAGTTTTTGAAGAACAGAAATATTGTTTTCTGGCATCACTTTCAAATGTTACAGGGAAAATCTGCATTTTGGTATGAAGGCAGCGCCTCTGTTACCTGGTCAAGACAAAACCTTGGACTTTAATGTAGATTAATTAAGGGATAATCTGCAGCTACCGTTCTTAAAATAGGATTGAATTGAAAATGATTTTATTGGCTTAAAAATGATTGTATGGCTTCCGTTCAGGAACAAAAAACTGTTCCACGGCGTACCAACGGCTGGTACTGCCACAACAACAACGTAACTTGAAATGAACGGAAGCAATAATCGATGCAACTGTCCAAGTCTGATCACAGTTCCACTAACAAGTCCTTAAACACTGCCGAGCCCATACCGTGTTCCTGTTAGTGTTTACTTCCTGTCTATTTGTCTTCTGATGATTTATCTGACGTCCAGCTTTTAAGCTCTTTTCTTTCTCTCCCTTAATCCTCCTTAGCAACAGTGATGTTATGCTTAGCAGCGGTGTGTTATCGAGTATTCACAACCTCTGAATGTCCAAATTGACCAATCAAAATCGATTATTCTACTAAGCCGTGTAATACATCTGGATATTGAGGTTCTCAGTGCTGTCCCTGCATGTGTCTTCCTGCATGTCACTAAAGTGTCCTGAGGTTCAGACAGCAGACAGAACATCTGTTCAGCTGCTTCGTCTGCACTCCCTCTTCATCTCCGCCTCCATCATCATCCTCACACAGTCCATTCCACTCAACTCAGTGTGACTT